TTTGTCGTATTCCCACATTCACTCAGCGGCCTCATCACAAATTGCCAGTCCCTATTCGGTGGACTAATATTTTTTATTTAGATTAATATTTTTTGGAGCCCAAAGTATTTGGCACTGGACTAATTGTAAGGACGTCATTTTTTACCAGAAAATATAAAATCGAACAGATGCTTAAAAATATCGAATCAAATCGAATCAATTTTTACGGTCACCGAATATCGATTTTCGATCATGTTTCGATATGATTATGGTTCATAATTTTTTGTAGTTCTAAATTACCAAACCGAATCGAAATCCAATTGGTCTTAACAAATTTTCTATATTACAAATAGTGAAAATCCAAATTCATTAGTCCTTATTTATTAGTCGAAATTTGGTCTCCCCCACAAGAATTTTAAATAATTTTGACTTTACCAAGTGAGTAATTATATTTGCAACCATGCCTTTTCAACTGCATTTATTTGACCTCAAGCTAAAAAACCGTTAACATATTAAGTGAGATACTATCTTCCTACAATCACGTTAAATATAAACAGGTATATTACAAATTTTAAAGGTGAAAATTCAATTTTGAAACAGTAAAAAAAAACAGCTAAAAGGGCATGTACAGCTGTACACCAAAAAATTCAAATACAAAAAAATCATAAATTATGGTTAAAAAGACTCAAAAAAAAATTCTTTTTCCACATCACACCATTATTTAAGGCCTATAACGTATTTTTATGGTGAAAATTTAATTTTGAGACGGTCCAGATACTGGCTGATAGGGCGTTTAATGCTGTACATCGAAAATTTCAAAAAGAAAAATCTCGTAAGTACAAGTTAAAAAGCCTCAAACAAATTTTTTTTTTTTTTTTTTTTTTTTTTTGCCAAAGCATTATTTAAGCTACGAACTTAAGGTAAAAATTTAATTTTCAGACAATAAAAAAAGCTGCTAAAAGGGCGTGTACAGTTGCATACCTCTTTTGTTCTTTGTTGTATTTTTTTCGTGTTGACTAGTTAACGCTTTGCTTTATGTATTTTGCTGAGCTGACAAGCACAAATGCAGAGTGAAACTAATAAATCGAAAACATTTTCAGCACAATATTTTGGCAATTTTATTTTGTCACAATCGAGAGAATTTTCGTGTTCAAAAGTTGCATAGAGGAGAGCAAATGTGAGGAAGAAGATGATATATCTTCAACTCACGCACAAAAGACCATTGCCAAGCAATCGGCCAATAGCCATGCAACACAAGTCCGAAATAACCAACTAAAGACAAATAGAAAAAATGAAACACGACTTTGTAAGTCATATGCGACAATGAGCAGTTACACCTAATGAAATAAAAGAGTGCAATTGAGATTGCATGGTTGCTCGTCGATCACTGAGGCAAAAGCGATGCATGTAACACTCATATCAACACATAGTTTCATATCAACCCCCAATATCTAAAAAAGGATGTTATATAACAACAAACAGTTTTGTCTACATGTTTCTGATGTCTGGAGGTGGGTATATAATCCCGATTGTCCTCGTATAGGTAGCTACTGATGCTGGAGTTGAGGTCGATTTATCAGTATCTTTATCCAGGTCTTCATTTCTCTCATTATTTAAGTCCTCAGTCACTTGAGCAAGGGGTATCGGGCCGAGATCTCCATCAGCAGGAGGTACCGGAAGTGGAAGTATAGGTAAGGAACCCAGCATATTCAACCTGATAATAACAATCAATGTCAAATATGGTAAGTAGCAATTCCATAAGTTTAAAAGCATAAACATTAACAAATATTGCAAGTCCAAACATCAGCTCTAAAAAAAACATTATATATCAGGATTGTCCAAGCAATAGCCACAGCCAAATAAATATGTAGCTATATGGTCACCCGTAGTAGAAAATGAATTTAGGGCTGGCATCAGTTTGATAACCGAACCGATAACAGAAAACCGAAACCGAGCCGATAGTTTTCGGTTTCACTAATATTCAAACCGAAACCGAGCCGATAAGAAATCGGTAACCGATTTTGGGTTACCGATAAAACGGTCCGGTTTCGGTTTAAACCGATAAAAACCGAAAAAAAAAAAAAATGGTTCTAGATTCTAGTTGTTGTTCACAATTCACATACAGAGACAATAAACGTGAAAAATCAATTGTTTTTAGCTTTTCGCCCCACAAATCAAAAGCTTAACAGAGACAAGATGAAGGAGGTTTAGTGTGATTACTTTTTCCTTTCTGGCGTATCATAATGGGAAAGTCCACACTATACAAGCATATACGCAGACAAAACATAAATTAATACATGAAGAGTAGTCTATAATTCATTCAATTCAAGAGAGAGTGAATTCTCCTTCTCAGCCATAAGCATGAGCATCTCAAGACGCCTGTCGAAAATTGATGCACTTTCATCCCTCTTGTCGAGTTGAGCACCTTCAGCCTCAAGCCATTTCTCTCTCAAATCATCAAGAAGGTTTCCAGGGCTGCTTATATTTGCTTCAGCTCCCGGCGCACTTGGGACCGTTGTTCTAAGTGTTGAATCCCCAGATGGAGGTGGCAGGGTCAAAAGCATGGCCCGAAACTCCCGAATATTGGCCAAAGTGTCAAAGTTGCATGCTACTGCATCTAGACAGTATTCACGAATCTTGGAGACACCATACCTGGAGAAAAAAAAAATGTAACAATATTCTGTTTCTTTACAAGAAACAACATAAGAGAGGGAGAGAAGCGTACATGTCAGATAGCAGCAACCAATGACATAATTCTGCAGGAGACATCATTTCCAGTTGTGGTAGAAGAGCATCGGCCACTGCACGTTTAAGAGGAAACAATAGGTACCTTGAAGCAGCATCAAACATATCTTCGGCCTGCATAATTGAAGACTCAATAGGACTGGAAAAATATAGCATCAGCTGCTAAGTTGTTAGTCGGTGAAGCACACCTGATCAGGGTGTATGCCCATCAGACCATCAGTATACCTGAATAACAATATATATAATATGCATTATCCCACTCTAGAAAATCATAATTAACTTAAAAATTTGGAAATATTAGCACGATATATGGGAAAAAATGAGAAAGTGTCAAATAAAACCAATAAATTCATCAAGAAAAAGCACCAGTTTTCACCCGACTATCGACTGCTTCCTTCAATCCCACCCTAAAATAGAAAATCTAAGGTTTTTTTTTTTATTATGATCAGTGCTTCCTTAAAATCCACCTCAGACTTGAAAATCTTAGATTTTTTTTTTCTACAATTTGATTGTTTTCCCCTGAACAGAGATTTAATACAATCTCTTACCCTAGAAAATAGCAACAATGTGAACCAATTCCTATATATATAGTTGCTGCTCTAAACATTTTCAACAAGTATCGGAAGTTAAAATGAAGCTTTCAAGCATAAAATGAAACTAGCTTAACCAACATTTAGTCGCCATTAAGAGTGTGTGTTATAAACATCAAATACAAATGGGAATGGAGAGCAAAATAGATAAAGATCACATACATATATTCCACCATTTTTTGAAAGGCCTCTGTGCTCAGGTCATGTTCTTCAAGACGCGGAAGAGTATGATAAGGTAAATATTCTTTTCCTTCAAGAAAATCTTTCATTCGGGATAATCTTGCCCTAAAGTATTCAGATCTTGAAGCTAAGATGACTTGATGGCAACGGAATTTGTTCTTCTCAACTCTCACACTAATATCTGCGAGATCATCTTCCCAAGCAGTAGTCTGCATTAAATTAACAAGAGATACATCATTGACCCTATTCTCTAGGTCTCGTCCTCTGGAGGAATTGGCGAGAGATATTCGGAGGACTCGACCCAAAGCAGCAGGGAGGCGATCTTCCTCTGGAAGGGAAAGGCCCTGCAAGATGAACCTCTTCTGGGAATTGTCTATCTCTCTAAGGGCTTTGTAGTCCGCATGCTTTTGGTGAACTATTTCTTTCTCAAGAAGAGTCTGTAGAGACTGGCACTTGCAAACTCGGCACATTTTAACAAGATCCTCCATGTCATCAACGGCTACTTCCAGTCTGTCAGAATAAAAGAAGAGGACAAGGCTAAAGAAAGATGGATAAGTAAGTTTTTTGCAGGAAAAACGTACTTCCTTCTTCCCTTTCCAATCAGTCTCAAACTTTCTCTTAAAGAATGGGGATCGGGCACTCAAGATAAGTCTGTGAGCTTCAAGGGGTCTTCCTTGTACATAAAATACAATATCAGGAGGGGAGTAACTGGAATTGGATTCTCCATTCAACGCATTACCTACGTTTCATGTTAAATTGCCAAGTAAGCATACTTCTAAGTTGTTGGAAACCTTGAAGAGCAGAGATGTACAACAAAGCCAAACAGAGAGCATAGGTTTAGATGAATGAGCATGTGCCTAGAAAATGTGTCTAATAAAAGGATCAATTAATGAATATAGAAACATGTTCCAAGAGGAGATAGGACTCGAAGGGACCTGACCTGACACAAGTGGAGTCGTATGAGTGTTGGAGTTGAAGAGATGTTGTAGATAGGCCCGATTGGCTTTGCAGGCCAGGAGGGTGTCTCTGAGGGCGGCCTGCAATGGTTGGAGAGGGGGGGGCCGGGCCTCGAAGGCCTTGAGCAATTTGCGGACCTTGAGATTGAGAGCGGCGTAGTGGCAGCGATCGCCATCGAAGGTGTGCTCGGAGCAGATGGCACCGCTCTCGAGCAGCATACACGCGACTTCGAGATGGCCGGCAAGGCAGGCATAGTAGAGCGCCACCGAGTCCCACTGATCCCGTGCATTCACGTTCACACCGCACTCCAATAGGTAGCGCAGGCGCTCCACGTCCCCGGCGCGTGAGGCCTCGAAAATGTCGCCGTATGGCACCTTCTTTAGAGGTAAAGACGAGTTGAAGTCCTCCGCTTCCAGCTCAATCTCCTCCATCTCCGACATCGCGATGGCGGCGGTCGGTAGTGGGAACTGGGAATTGATCCCTAAGTCACTGCGCATCTATATCCCCACATTTGGGTCAAATTTATTATTTATTTAACTTTTAAGCTCTAATATTTCCACACACACATTTTAATTTAAAAAATAGTTATATGGCCGGTAATATATACATTTCATTAAATAAAAAAAATCAATTTTATCACATTAAATCTCTCTTATATATAATTTCAAAATGTGCAGAGCTTAAATGGCTAGCTCACGTTTCGAAATCTACTTGAAAAAATTTCGAACTTTGTCTTATGGCTTAGATAAAAATTAATATAATTACAATCCCAAAGCAATAGGTTCAGAAATACTATAATCATATTTGGTATCTACAATACTATTTATGCTAATTGATTATGTTTAATACTATAATTAATCATATTTAATTAAATGCCAGGATTTCAAATGTTAGAGTGTATATCTATATATATATAATTGTTGGCAAGTTTCATTTAATTTTATTCAGCCTTCAATTAATAATAATATGAGTTCATTTAATAAAAATAGGTTGCATTTAATAAAAATCTTTATGACCTTCATTCAAAAACCGTTACAATATATTTTTTTCTTTTAATTTATTCCATACAACCACCTACCTATATTTTGGGTTTATAACCGTTGCATGCGATTACCATTTTTTATTTCTTTAAATCTGGGAAATGTAATTGTTGCATGGTTACAAGATATTGTTTAAACCCTTAAATTTGAATGGTTAAAAATACTTTTTTAATTTGTATGTTGACTCTTCACATGCAAAATAAGCATTAAGTTTTGTAATAGAGATCTTTACTCTAGCTCATTCAAATAAAAAATTTTCATGGAAGATTGCACACTATATTACTTGAATTTAATTTGTATAATAAATATAGTGATGAATTTGATACTTTTATAATGTTTATTTTTACTAACGACAAAATCTTTAAAATGTGATACTACTATTTAACTTATAATTTTACAATTATATACATACACATAACTTATAAGTTATAATAATTTAAATTTTTGTGCATGTGCACAGGATCATATACTAGTATATATAATTGCTGACAAACTTCAATAAATTTTATTCATCCAATAAGCAATAATATGAGTTCATTTAATAAAAATATGTTCACCATTTAATAATAAGTAACTTTCAGTTACACAATTTAGATTAACATGTCCCATTTTGGATGTTGTCCATTTCTGTAATGTTTTTTTATGTCCTGAATACAAAATATTTTTGTTTTATTTGATACTATATATTTTTTGGTATATAAATACATATTGCATAACTAATTAAAAATGACTACAAATATATCTATTTTCTATTGCAGTCATACAGTAATAAAAAAAAATATTTTTTCGGATATTACAAAGATACATCAAATATTTTGAAAAATCAAATCTCATAGTCACGAGTCTAAGAGATTTAACGATAGTGTTGTTGTGATGAAGATTCTGACGATAGGAAAACCACGAATATTGTATATAAAGTCGTGTTTAATAATATTTAGGTTCTTTTTTTTAATTATTTTTTTCTTATTTATTAAGTTTTTATTTTAACATTGTTCAATATTTTTAATTATTTTCTTTTCTATTATATCGTTTTTCGTGTAAATACACTGGATAAAACTAGTGATTCTTAAATATGGCAATATGGTAAACTAATATACATTGTGGTCAAATATACATATTTGACTACTTAATGGGGACAAATTAGTCATTACACATATACACATTAATCAGCTCGGGCCTACCATAAATCCAACAACCACACACTTCTCTCTCTCTCTCTCTCTCACATATTTACATCTAACACATACTACCATAGTTTTTAAACCAGGCCCGGTAATCGACCCGGGCAGGTCCTCGGGTCCTCGGGTCACCCGTTCAACCGTCGGGTCACCGGGTCAATTGTTGAACCGGATAATTAATTTTAACAAAATAAACTCCTGAACTCTTCAGGCTTGCAAGATATTCCTTGCAATTCCTCTTACAGTGCCTTAATTTGTCACATTGGAAACACTCGTTATCGGCCTGAGAACTCACCTTTTTATTTCCTTTATCTGTCACCTCATTGTCCTTTGCCTTCTTGTTGGCTTAGAGGAAACGTTTTCCTTCCCTTTCTTTTTCTTAGACATTAAAGTCTTTGATCTAGAAGGGGATCTAATGACAAGCATCGACTGACTATCACATAGTCTCTATTTACAGATTGAATGACATTTTTTAGGTTTATCAGCCAATCAATGAAATTCGGGTCAGTTAATTTGTTTTGCTCAAGAATACATGCAATTAGATTTTTAATCATTTTAGTAGAATGTTCTACCAAAATAAACGAATCAGAAAATGAGTAGACTATGGAAAATATATTCATTTAATATAAGGTCTTTGATATTAAATGTCTCTCACTATTTTAATTAAACCCCATAAAATTTTGAAAATCAAATTTTCATAGTGGGCTTGAAGCCCAATAAAAATATTCCATATCCTAATTTTATGAGTACGCATGAAATATTTATATTGGTAGTCAACTTTTGACGATTGTATCACTATACAAAGTTCAAGATTATTTTGCATCACCTTTCTTATATACCCCAATTTTATGAGCCCATATAGTATTAAGTGTCAAATTATACCCATCAAACCTTCGTGATAATGGCGCATCAAGGTGTCTCACGACTCGTGGCTGTTTCTCCCATTCTTGTTGCTATTTTTGTTTATGTTTTGCGTGTATTTTCTCCCATTTTAGGTCGTTTTCTTAGGTGTTACCGGTCCGTCTAGTCATTTCTCGTGTTTTAGTGTTATTTAGTCGTGTTTTGTGTTTTCTTTGTCTTTTCTCCTATTTTCTCTTGCTTTTCGTGTTTGTCCGGTTTTGGTGGTTTCAGATTATTCCAGTTACTAGGTATTCCATGCCCGTTCATGTGACTAAACATGCAGAGGTCGAGTTTCCAGCTCGGGCAGTACCCAAGCAACGCTATTCGAGCACGCGAGCCGAAGAAAACGCAACCTTTGGACTGTCAGGGCCTTAGCGCCGCTAAGGTCAGCCAGGCTAGCGGCGCTATGTTTCTTACCGAAGCCAGTCTCGAACAACTAAGGAAGCTTAGCGGCGCTAAGGTACCTTAGCACCGCTAAGGTCTGTTTTACAGCAGGCACGATTTTCATGGATTTTGAACTGGAGAGACTATTAGATCGAGCTAGGGCTTATTTTTCAGTATTCCAGACTTTTTGTATTTCGTTTTTCTTACTTCCTCAACATATTATTTCTCTTAGTTTTCATTGGGATTCCATCTTGGATAGTGAAAAACTCCAAGATTGGACTTGTGGATTTGGATTGCTTGTTGCTTTTCGACATTGGATTCACTATTAATCGTAAGCATTTCTTTTCATTTTGTGTATGGATTTGATGGCTTGCTTAATTATGAATTGTTGTGTTGAAATTGCAATAAGTGGCTAGATTCATTAACTAGAGCTAGGGGTTTCGATTTTGTTTGTGTGATTGTTGAATTGTTCAATTTATACGAGTTATGTTAAACCTAGGGTTGGATGATAAATCACCATCTTGATCTATTCAATCAATTTTAGAACTGAAAGGGGAGGAATCTATCGATCTAGGCTCGTTTAGAATAGACTTGTTCGGAAACGTATTGTCTATGTGCTAATTGATTCGATAATTGTTCGTTTATGTTTATTCTCTTGTTTCATGAGTTATTGAGAATGAATCCTCTAAATGAGTTAGTTTTTCGAGTTCTTTAGCCGAGTGATCAATTGCTTTTAATGTATTGAGAACTGAAAACGATTGTCCCCGGCGTCCTAGTCCCTTTACCACTGTTTGAATCGTGTTTGAAGTTGTGTGATTGAATTACCTGGTTGGAGAATCATTAGTAGTTGATCTCGCAGTTGATAATTGAAGAAAAACTCAAATCATTGAATTAGAGTGTTTAGGATTATTTTCTCTTTTCGTGTGATTGAATAATCGTGCAAATTAATCCGGCCAACATTCCTTGAGACACGACCCAGTGTTTGAATCTTTCGATTCTACTCCGGTAAAAATAACTGCAACAGTGGCCAACACAAAGACGAATCCATCTCACGAGCATCTCAATGCTTAGTAGAGACCACAGCTTTCAGCACAAAGCCACCCCACGACTCATGGTCAGTGACTAAGCACCGTAGCATCGTCATGTCATCTACTTTTGATGGAAGGCATGGATTAATAGGTACAACCCATTTTTATCCATTATAATTTGATATGGAATTAATCGAATTAAATTCCTTAAAAGTTTCAGAAACTTTATTTAATGCAACATTCATCATATGAAACGCAAGCAACTAGCATTAAATAAATCTAACATGCATCCTATGCAGAAAGCAGTGGGATGATCACGGTCAAACCTATGCGATCCATTAGAGCCAAAATGGGTCTATGCCTATATACGGGATAAAATAAATAGATACTTCTATTACATTTTATTATATCAACCCGTACAAGCACATGCCTTCAAAATTTACAACTTGTAAAATTACCCACACAAGTGTGGGCCTTTTTCATCGAACGGGCCTTCAAACTGATCTAATATACTCTCCATACAATAATTTAAAATTATACAAATTATTGAATAAGAGACTCGCATGTCTCGATAAATTACAAACATTCAATCACATTGAATAAAATGCTCATGATCATCCCTAAATAAATATGCTAAAAACATTAATCACATTAATTAAAAGCATATAAATTTACCAAATTTTGTGTATTGATTTAATTTTGAGATTAAATAAATTTAACTATTCATAATAGTTAATCTAATTAATTTAGATTTAACTTTTAAATCTAAACTTAAATAAATTATATTTATTTATTTTATTTTTTTTAATGTTAAAAGTAACATTTGGGGCGCATCAACATACCCCACAAAACATCACTTTTAACAAAAAACAAACAACCCATCAATAAGGGTGACGGTAGGTGACAGAACATGTCCACTCCACTATCCTTTTATTTATTTATTTATGGTAGGTGACAGAACATGTGGGGATAGATAATTGATTTCTAGTAAATTAATTTTATATAAAAATGAAAACAAAGCAAGTGGACTGTGGCAAAAGTCCTCCCCACATGAA